GGCCTGTACCCGCACGGCGCCTCCGCTGAGGGGCTCGCGCAGGCCGGCCCCGGCGCTTGGGCCCTTCCCCTGGTGCCCGCCGGGCCGCAGGAGCCGGGGCTGCCTGGGAGGTGGGGTGGCGGGTCCTCCAGCGGGGAGCGCTCTGCCTGCACCCGGTAACCCGGCCAGGCAGGGCTGGGGCCTGTGAAGTGGGAGCGCGGGAGGTCACCGCGCAGCCTTGGGTAGAGAGCAAGAAATCCCTGTCGAGTGTGGACAAAGCCAGCCCTGCCTTGGGCTGACCAGGAGAGAGTACCCAGGGCGACATCTCCCCTTAGCCCTGTCACATCAGACTGAGGCGCCAAACTCGTGTCTGAATTGAGTGTTTTTTTCCTTTTTCTGTACTAATGGAAGAAAACAACCAATTGGGAATTAGTGCTGAGGAATGCTGTGAGTGGGGACTCTGCAGTGTTTGCACTAAAGACACATCAAGTCATCTTTGTCCCATGCTGTCTCTCTTTCTGTTGGTGTAAAGCTCTGTTAAAGTGTGTGGGGTTTTGCTTTTACAGGGTGGAAAAATACAGACCCATGAAACTATGTGAAATAGTTGGCAATGAAGATACAGTGAGCAGGTTGGAGGTGTGTAGCTGTCCCTTTGTGGTTTTAAAGGTTAACTTCTGTATTTTTATATCCATACTTGAGTTTGTGGAAAAAAGTTTTCTGATATGCTTAAGAAATTACTTTCTTTAGGACATGTTTGAGTAGTGTCCTGAGGAAATAATGCCTTCTTGAATCGGGATGTTGTGTAATTTAGCCCCATTGTTTAAATTGCCCCTGACAAGTTATATTTGTAACGTTTATAATGATATTGTTTCAATGAATATAATTTACATAATAATAGAAAGAAAAATATAACCCTTTTGTGGAAGAAAAATATTTCCCTTGACAAAATTAGTTTGTGAACACAGTATTCATTAACAGAAAGCTTATACTAGCAAACCTATAAGAGATGCAAAGGAAAGGCAAAAGTACCTGTGGGATTAAGTGCTTTTAGGTTTTTCCATCTTTTTCTAGGGACTGACTTCTAACGGTTCAGTAAAAAAAAAGGAACATGAAAGCAGCAAGGTTCAAAAAGTGAAAGCAGGAAGGAAGAAAAGAAATTGTAGTTCTGTTTCTCATTATTAAAATAGAATTAAAACCCATTTGTTCCTGCTATTTTTTTACAAAATTTTTTAAAATTTTATTTTTTTCTTAGGTCTTTGCAAAAGAGGGGAACGTACCAAATATTATAATTGCTGTAAGTATTGATGTGTTGTACTGTACTTCACCGTGTTGGCCCTGGCTTCTGAAATCTAGCCACAATAGCTTCCCAGTATACATTCACATTGGGCCTGACTGTATTGGTAAGAGAGATATTGACTGTATGGTCACAGAGCAGTGTTCTTAGCAGAACACACCAATACCGAACAGCTTTCTGTTAAAAACTGACCTGGGCCTCAGGTGACTGTTGAAGCGTGTCTTGTGCTTCTCCCTGCAGCATTTCTCTCCTCCGTTGGAGGCAGGATCCTGAACTCGGGCGACCTGCAGTCTGATGTTCTCTCTGCAGTTCCTCTGTTGCAGCTGTTTTTTGTGACTGGAGAGCATTGTAGAGAGTACAGCTTAGAAAATGACATTTAACTTACCAGTAATTTTTGCATTTTGCATTTTTAGGGTCCCCCAGGAACAGGTAAAACCACCAGTATCCTCTGCTTGGCTCGTGCTCTGCTTGGACCTGCATTAAAGGATGCTGTTTTGGAGCTGAATGCCTCAAATGACAGGTGAGAATGATTAAACCTTATCAAACTTTTAATGAAGCAGCAGGTATTCATTTTTATTTTTAGTTCAGCTCAGGCCAGTGTGATAGGCTTAATGCTAGTAAAGCCTCTAGTACTTAATGCATTTTTTTCAACTAAAAGTTAAGCAGTCTTTGGTGTCCACCTATCAACATAGATATTATTACTACTTAATGTTTTATAAACTTGATGGACATGTTCATACACAAAAATGTAAACATATGAAGTGCAGAATCTGTAATGGTACTGTTTTCTTGAATTTTCTTTAAAAAATTAAGCTTCCTGCATTCATACAGATCCTCCTAAGAATGAAACGTGAACAAGTTGTTTTATAGTGGAACTCTTCAGTGCTTAAGAAAAAAAGTTAAATGATAGAAACTGGAGCTGTAAGGGTAGTTGGGGATTAAAATGTAGGATAAGCATGTTAGATATATATAGGACACTGACTCTACTCCAAGAATTGGGCACTAAGGTCTGATTATATTTCCCAAGTTCTGTAGCAGACCCATCCTGAAGTATTCCAAGGACATTTCCTGGAGGGTTGTTAATGAGTACAATACATTTTATCTGCCTTTGTTAATATCAATTATAGAAGAGCTACAGAATCACAACATTAATTTTCTAAACAGAACAAAAAAGTTAAATTTCTTCATTTTTAAAAGTAAGTCTTTGTTGGGACTGTTTTGGAAGGAACACGTGTTATGCTAAAATGATGCAGTCTGTCCAGCTGTTTTTCTTAAACTTTTCTAAACGAAACCAGTTATAGTTGGGTCTGTGGATGTAGCTTGTGTGAAGCACTGGCAAAGTAGCAAAGCTGTATTAAACACTTCTGCCCTTGTTCATTTATTACCCCTACCTTTTGCAAAAAATAAGTAATTTTGTGTCAGTACTGTAAGGTTCCTGATGTATATACTAATCCTGTTAAATTATGTTTTCAAAGCCTCCAAAAATGAGGAGTATTGGTGTTTAAACCTGAATGAGTTAGGCAGTCTGGCTTACAGCATGGTTTCACAACAGTTACAGGGCACAGCTGAAGGGGCAGGAACAAACAGTGGGGGATTAGGGAGCTCAGGAGTGCTTCAGCCACTGTGGCTGCTGAATAAAATCTATTATGTAATTTCACCCAACTGATCATGAATCACTTGAATTATTGTTCCAGAGGCATTGATGTTGTGAGAAACAAAATCAAAATGTTTGCCCAGCAAAAGGTCACGCTTCCAAAAGGTCGGCATAAAATAATCATTCTTGATGAAGCAGACAGGTATGTTGTGTTTTATTTAACTTCAGCTACTGTGTGAGATGTGTTGCATCTATGCTGTCTGCGGAGCTGCTGTCTTGGACAGTTTCAAATGTTTCTGTCAGGCTATCAAAAATAATTAGTTGGGAAATAAATATGCATTGAACATTGTTCTTATGAGATTACTCATATCAAGCAGAGATCATTGCTTCAAGTGAGATACTGAATGTTGGGGTGAAACACCGGTGATTTAGCTGGATATGAAATAGCATCTTACAGTTTACTGGCTTTACCTTGGAAAAGAGCCTGGCTTATGCAGATAATGTCACTAGATGAAAACGGGACGTTTTCCTCCATCTGCAGATAAGTAGTAGTATTCTTAGCAGTATCCTTCAGAGTACTAATGATTTATTTTTGCTTGTTAGTTTCAGTGACCACTTGCCTTGTGGGGTGATTTGTTCACATGACTAGAAAAAACTGCTTAGTTTATCAAGCCAGAATATCAAGTAATTTACAAAGCACTGACTAATATCAGTAAACTCTGAAGCTTGTATAAAAATAGTTATCAGGCTGCACCTATAAGTCGGTGAAGGGCAAAATCTGTCCTAACTCTTTTCTTCCCCAGCATGACAGATGGAGCACAGCAAGCATTGAGAAGAACAATGGAAATTTATTCCAAAACAACGCGCTTCGCACTTGCATGCAATGCCTCGGACAAAATCATAGGTAAAGTGCTGCTTCTCCCTGGGAATTTTTGTCATATGTTCTCCATACTGTTGGCAAACTTCCAAGGCAGTTTTCAGAAATACCTTGGACCTGCTCATTGCAAGAAACCATGGTACTTCTAAAAAATCAAACCACCTGTACCTCCAGCTAATAAAAGAAGAGTGTATTTATGTAGCTGGGGAACCCTCTGAACAGCTGTTTTTGATGGGTGGTGCTGTGCATTGATGGCAGAAGCAGATTTCTCATACTTTGGGCTTAATCTCTATACAACTGTGCTACAGCTTAAGGTGTTTGATATATTGTTCAATGGGTATTGAAGCCCTTTTGTTGTCTTGCTTTCCAAAACATAAAAGTATGCCTACAGGCTAACACATTATAGACCTTTAGAGTTTTCTTGGTTAGCCATGATAAAATACACATTCAGAAAACAAGAACAGAAGCTGAGCTTCATATATATTTGCACATATTTGGGAAAACTCAAGTAGCACATTTGGGCTAAGGGAAGGACTGTAACAATGGTATATGCTTGAGATACTATATTTGGTCTGGAGCTGACATGTTCTTTTTCTTTGAAAGAAGACAAAGAAGAGTTGGAAGCTGAGAGATCTTCCAAGATGAAAACAAATGGTTATTTTTCTGAGAAAAGGGAGAAATGCTAATTACACATCTCTGTCCTCAGAACCTATTCAATCCCGGTGTGCAGTGCTGCGTTACACCAAGCTGACGGATTCGCAAATCCTTGCAAGGCTACTGCAAATTGTTGAGAAAGAGGATGTACCGTATACAGATGATGGACTAGAAGCTATTATCTTCACAGCCCAAGGAGATATGAGACAGGTAAAAGAAGAAAGGCAATGAAACAAAAGCAAAAAAACCTTTGTGTTGTGGCTCTCAAGGATTTATCTTTGGAGAGGTGAAGCAAAGGGATGTGACCTGTGGCATAAGATTAGCTAAACTATTTGGTTTTGTGAGGTTTTAAAGTGGATCTGCTCCTTAAAAGTTAATTGGTGGGAACTGGATACCAAATTTGTGGGAGGAAACAGGATCTGTATACATTTGTGTTTTACTCTGTTGCTTAATTGAAAACTGCTTAATTGGCATAATTTTCTGAACAGTGTTTCATCCTGAGGAGGGAAGTGAGAAGTAGAGCACTTCAGAAAATAAAGTCTTCTTTTTTCTTTCACAGGCATTAAACAACTTACAGTCCACATATTCTGGATTTGGTTTTATAAACAGTGAAAACGTTTTTAAGGTCAGTAATAGTGTAAACCAGTGATGCTCAAAGTTTAGCACTACAGCTGTGTGAGCACTTTCCTCAGACACATATGCCTTTGACAGTGCTTGGTCAGTCCACAACAGGAATTACAGCCTTAGGCTGTAGAAAAGTTCATGTGCCTTTTGAAAAGGGAGAGAGCACTACCAGTCCATAATGACATGTCAGAGACCTTGTGGCTTTCCAGCTCTGTCAAAGCACACGAATCACATAACTGCTGGGAAATCTCAGAGAGGGAACTTTTCAATCTATTACTTGTGTGCTCTCATTCTGTACTATTGAATCTGCTATGGCAGGATAGCTGAAAAGTCATATTACTTAAAATTTAATCTGTATTATAGAATGTGTCTGATTCAGTACTTCAACTGTATAGAAGCTTGGTGAAAATACCGGGGATTTAATGCAGAGTCTTCTAATATTTTGAAGTATAATATTTCTCTTTGATATAGGTATGTGATGAGCCTCATCCTCTTCTTGTGAAAGAAATGATACAACACTGCATAAATGCAAATATTGATGAAGCATACAAGGTTGGTTTTCTCTACCGAATTCTTGTTTTGAAGAATTCACAGTGTATGTTGTTTTTTAAGCTAAGGGCAATACCATGCAGATGAGTTGATGAATTAAATCCTTTGTATGTAGAGGTTTGTTCAGATGCACAAGCCAACAAGCAAAAAAACCAAGTTATATTGAAATTACTTGCTAAATAGTTGAGGTTAAATTGTTTGATAAGTAGTACATGCAGTTCCAGAAGTTAGATACAGCTGTTCCAAAAGTGTATATACTTGACTCACCTGATAAGTTTTCCAGATAAATGAGGGGTTATTCTTGCCTGCACAGATTCTTGCACACCTGTGGCGACTTGGGTACTCTCCAGAAGATGTGATTGGCAACATCTTTCGTGTGTGTAAAACCTTTCAAATGCCAGAATATCTGAAATTGGAATTTATCAAGGTTAGTACTAGTCTAGCTCCTGGTGGGGTCTTTTAGGCCTTTTTAAGAAGAGGATGTGATTCCTAATACAGGGGCAGCCTGAGGGTTTTCTCTGTGAGATTTGCTATACATTAGTGTGAAAAAAGTATTTAACTTACTACTTTTTTTTCCCCACTCTGCGTCATCAGTTTATCAGTAAGAATGGTCACTTGACATTTAAAGTCTAACCACCCACAGAAGTGCCAAAAGTCACTTTAGTGATCAACTGGAATTAATAACAAGTGTAATGCTGGCTGCATTGATTATTTATGTCAAAGCCTCAAGTAAGCCCTTGAGAACTTTCTTCAAGGGTAAACTTGATTCTAGTCCAATAGACTGTAAAATATTAAATTACATTAACATCCAGTTGACAAATGGTAACCTGGCATAGTGGAATCGCTATTCCGATTTGAAACCTGTCCTCAAATATTTGCACCTTGCTCCTTATACAAAGGAAGTGTGGAAATAACAGGCTTTGATTTAAAAAAAGAAGAAAAATGCATTCTAGTTGGTGTGTGTGACAAGATACGCTTCTCTTAAGTTCAAGTGACTCTGAAGTTTGTCTCTTAGCAGTAGGGATGTGTTCTGTTTAGTCATTCATCTTACTACACATAGACTGGAGAGAAAACAGAGATTTTACAGTGTTTTTATCATCAGGAAATCGGGTACACTCACATGAAGATAGCAGAAGGAGTGAACTCACTTTTACAGATGGCTGGCCTGCTGGCCAGGCTGTGTCAGAAGACGGCAGCCCCTGCAGCCAGTTAGTGTTTGACGGGGTGAACCCATGTTCCGGAAGGGGAAGGCCTGGTGTGCAAGGGCAGCAGCTCCCCGGGGGTCCTCAGCGCTGCAGGCAGAGAGCCTGCTCCCTTACTTTTGCTAAATCACAGCAAAATAACCAGGTTCTACTGTAAAAATGTTTTGTACTTTTTTATTTAGACCAATAAAGCTTTAAAATTTACTTTAACCTGAGAACTCTTATGTGTTGTATAACCGAGGTACAAGAGAGGACTGTGACAGTCTGGAGCAGTAAGGTCTGGCTGGTGCACTCAAAACTGTTTACATCAGTGGTACCAAGACCTAACGGCAGGAGAGACAAAAATTGAATCCCGTTGTTAGTGATTACACTTCAAGCCTGGTCACGAGTGGTGGCCTTACCAAGAAGGAAAAATTTTTGCACAAAATAAGGCATTTAATGAAGTTATAACTGAGGCATGCTGAGCAGGTGCCACTCCTGGGTACTGTTTATGTGCTGTGCGTAAGGAAGATATTTTCACCAAACATCTACAGGAGAAATAGGACACATTTCTTAATGGTGCCAGCCATTTACTTTGGATATTTCTTTAAAAAAATTACCAAATTCTGGGATGCTCTGCACTTGAGTTCCCTTTTCTGTTCTTGCTGTCCAAGTTAGGTAACGATTTACTACAGTTTCAGCGTACCAAAAAGCTGCAGTGTCATGCTTTCCTGCCTGGTCAGTTTTGGAAACCACCTTGCTGGTGCAGATGAGCAATAAAGTGTGAAACTCAGAGTGAAAGCAAATATAAATGGAATTTGAGCACTTCCGTATCAGATGTGAGATACATGCAGAGCTATCGATATAATTAAGTACGTTCTGGTTATAGCAGTCAAACAAAACGCTGCAGAGTGCAAGTTACTGGTGCCTGCACTTCACCCTGCCCATTCTGTCGACACTTTCCCCCGAGTGTTGCCTTGCCCACACCACTGCTGTCAGTGCCAAAGTGATCTTCATTGGCGCGTTAAGTGGGCTTCAGGCTAGAGTGGGCCCTCCCCCAAAGCAGTGGCTGGTGACAGCCCCACTGCTCCCACTCGCCCACAGGGCGGTGAGTTTCAGCAGCAAGAGCTGGGGTAGTGTCATAAATTGCTCCTTCATGACTTTCTGCAGCTCCTCTGGCTGAGCCTGAAGAGAACTTTAATTGAACGTGCAGGACAGCAAGGTAATTGACAGCTAAAGCGCAGACACGTTTGAGCTGGCTGTCAAATGGCATAGAGCAAACAGTGCTTAGAATAATGGATGGAATACTCAGTTATTTAGCAAACTTAACTTCTGATTCCCAGCCAGTGAGTTGTCACTGCTAGCACAAACACTGTTAAATACACAACTCAGAATTTAGTATTGAGGGGCTTAAGCTGTTGAGTTCTGTACAGACACAGCATCACAGCTTTTGTCCCTAAAAACTTAAATAAAGCACATTTAAAGAGTAGGTTAATTTTCCTTTGGCTGTACATCACAGCCAGCCTAATCTGTCTTTGCTTTCTAGTTAAACATGTTCATTACTGAACAGGGAAGGAAGAGGTGTTACTGCAAAAATGTCATAAAATAGCAAACAGCAGATTTGGAAGACTCGTAAGGCTGGTCCTTACCCCGCTGGATGCGCCTACCAGCGCGTCCTCTGGTTTGCTGTGTTTCTGCCAGCAGAAGGGGCAGAAACGAGGGTCACAGTTCCTGTTGCTACCTGGTTTAAGTGGTTTTCTTCTCAGCTATATTCAGTAGCCATATTTCACAGCTCCACTTTGGAGCTAGCTCTCCTCTGGGCTAATCCTTCATGGCACTGGGGGACATAACCATACTCACTTTTCCTGAGAAGAGGAATAGTATTGGTCCAAGAGGCCACCAACGCAGCCTGCTCAACCACAGGTGGTTGCTCACCCTCTGAGGGAAGAGCTACTGCTTTCCAGCAGCCAGCTAAGGCTCTCCTGCTCCATCTGAGCAGCACCAGCAGGGCCAAAACTACTTTTCTAATGTGTCTTAAATTGAAAACAGGAAGTGAATTGCTCACTTGGCTGCCTACCCAATGTGAGGAAAGAGATACATGGACCCAGGGGAGATGTCATTTCTCTTTGTGTTACGTTCAGATAACACAGGATCTGAGAATTTTTCTTGAGCGCCAGAAATCTTTGCACACCTAAAAACATGTCCTGAAAGGACAGTGTGTCAGTGAACACACTCACACGTATGTACTCGCCCATGGCAAAGAAAAACCAAAAGGTGTTTCAGAACAAGGCTGTAAGTTCCTGTAACAGTCCCTGGATATCTTCCAGCATAATGAGATCACTGGCTGAAAAGTACTTCAGGAGCTTTGCAAAGCTAAGAACTGATTTACCCCTTGCCACAGCTGGCTGTTCTGGAGAGCTGCAAGGCGGGGGCGGGGGGGAGGGG